TATACGCTATTAATTTTATACAAGACTCTATAAGAATTTCTTCCATTGTTTACACGGCATTAAGAAATTTTCCAAACTGTCTTTCTTAAATCTACCGTAAAGTAATTTTAGTAACAAAAATATTTTTGTTTAAAATCCTAACAAATCACCCGGATTTCTAATTCGAGAAACTATCCATTTAAGAAAGCAAATTGCCTAACGCCGAAATTTCTTTGAAAATGTTGCAAAATATAAATTTGTTAATGTTACAATGTCTTACGAGGAAGAAAAAGGAAGAGGAAAAGAGAAAAAAAATCTCAACAAAATAATAAATATTTATGAAAAGTTTCCGGGGGTTTCGCGACCCTTAACCTCGCGGCCATTTTATTGAAAAGGCCATAAACACACTCGTTATATACATGGTTTCCCCAAAATAAATTTGACATTTCCCAGCTGCCTACAGCAAAAACTATTCGTGAAAGTTTGGGAGTGTCTTAAGGAGATTATGGGAATTTTTTTTTCTAGAGCAAAGGAAAGTTAGTTTCAAAAACCATCACTACGGGCCGATTTTTATGCTGAAATAATGGCATATTAACCTGCAAGGTTTTCAGACTCGAATCCGTGCGCTTTTTGGCTCTGGGGCTCAAAGACTCGGTCTACCGTGATCCCATAACATCGCTGTCGGACCTTAAGGACAGCATGGCACGCCATTTGCGTAACATTCAACACTACATGCAATCGTTGAGCGTACTGTTTTACGCAGTTCAGATGGTAACGGCAAAGGTGCCCATCACGTTTTGTTCACATAAAGCTGTAATACGTGATTTTTTGAACGAACTTGTTTCTTTTCTGTATAAAAAAATTCCTATTAAGGAATTCCCAAAGTTTCTGATGAATAGTTTTTTTTTTTTTTTTTTTTTTTGCTGTAGGCAGTTGGGAAATGTCAAGTTTAATTTCGAAAATACTGTATTTGGAAACTCGATTGAATACAGTATACCATGGTTATAATAAATGAAAATCGAAAACTACGAATACCAGTCGACCCCCCTATAACACTGTTGATTATTCCATTTTATATGAATTCCATGTTGTAGGAGTCACTTAGATTTTACAAATATATGTGCCGGGCTGTGAATGGCTCACGTATTTGTAAAATCTAAGTGACTCGTACAACATGGAATTCATATAAAACGGAATAATCAACAGTGTTATAGGGGTCGACTGTACAGAAATGTGATTAAAAGAATAGCTTATAAATGGATAAAATTAGCTTTTTGATTTATTTAAAATTACGAATTGTTGGATACGCGAGTGTAGATTGGTAATTGTTTTATTAATATTACGTACAGTACAGTATATTCACGAATAGTAATCGGTCAAACAGAAATTATATTTTCCTTTAAAGAAATTAGAATGGTATTCGATTAATTCTCGGAATTTTTGAAGGTAATTTCGGTTGTCCGCGCCTCGTTTAGGCAGCCCGATCCCGATAAAAATGTAATTAGTCCGTAATTAACAATAGCCAGAGAAGTTAACTTTTCTCTCAGCCACTCGCTATCATTAACGAGTCAGTATTTTTCGTATTTTTTTCCGAATTTTTAAACTTGTTACCTTTAAAAAGAGAAAAATAAAAGTAAAAACATTATAACTAATACTAAATTTTTCTACTACCCAAAGTGTAACATTAACTTGTGTTATTATAACAAGAATTAATACAGAATTTTATCAATAATTTCGGAAAGTTATTATTATTATTTTTTTCCCCTGTTTATCACTTGACGGAGGAACTGATTAATATCTCAAATCGGCAATTCGAGGTGTCGTCCAACATTACAGATAAGCAAATAATAGAATGACGTACGGATTTTTATTTTAATAAAATTCCATAATTTTGACGCTTTCAAATTTATTAGTTTTTTTTTCCTTATTAGTGCATTTTGGAACAGAGTGCAAGCTTCATCGGTCAAAAAGTGACCCTCCCCCCAAAATTTTTTACATTTTTGGACTGGGGGATCTTCAAACGTCGAGAAATACAAAAAAAATCGACGTTTTTTTCTGTATGTATGGATGAATGTGTGGGGGGGAGCGCGATTTTGTTCACCCTCTTTGAAGCTTAATAACTCCCGTGCATTTTGTCGAAAATTTCTTAAATTTTGCAATTAGGTTTGTATATTAGAGGAATTGATGCTATTAAATTTTGGTTGGTAAAAGTCTACTGGGTGGGGAGATAAAGAGGTTCACGTGTCATATCTTGAGTAGAGTCTTTATGACGATTTTACTCATTATTTATTCGTTAAGCATTTACAAATTTTTATGAAACCCACCAGCGCCCTTAAGATGAAGCTTTTCGCCATTTTATAATTGTTAAAAATATAAAAAAAATTTAAATAAAATATGATAATAGATGGCGTCACCAAATCTTGCCTGTAAAGTTAAGCAACTCGTTGCTGNTGTATATTTATATATATATATATATATATATATATATAGTAATATAATTTAAACTTTTATAAATGAATTACAACATTGTTTACACGATCAAATTTTAAATAAGATCATAAAGAGAATGATAAAGAGATCATAAGATCATATCGTTTTTAAATTCTTAAATATAAACATTATAAAACAATAAGATTCTACAATAATAGAAAATGTTCGAAACAAACTGACTTAATTCCAAAATATAATGTAATGAATGCTATTGAAATTCAATCTACAATATATAATTTTATAAATATAATATATATATATATATATATATTCGTTTAACAGTTTAATCATATTCCAGTTATCTTTATCTTTCACAGTTTGATGGAAATTTATTTAGAATAAATAGCTTCAATTCTCATTTAGTCTTTCAATGACGACTTACTACCGTATTTGCCAACAATAAACACTTGATTCTTTCAATTCTCTTGTCGGTTCGATTGTTTCGATTCTCCTGGATAAGAATATGATACTCGCAAGCACTCGAAATCCTAACCTTAACAATTTTCTGCCTTTTATTTTTCTTTTTATATTGTCTTGTTTATAAATAGACTTATAAAGTGGGTCCGAAACACGCAAAAAGAGTGTACAGGACTTCCTCTCTTTGCTAATCGAAAACTACACCAGTATAACGAGCAAATATTCATTTTTCATCATCACAATGCCCAGATTGTAATTTTTAATCATATTTTTAATTTAAAATATATGCTCTCCACCTCAAATTAATAGCCCCTGTACATCATACTTTTCCTTTAACAATAGAGTCGTGCCGGTCATCTATCTAACACCTTTTGGGGGAAATTTTTGAATTGAAATATCGTGATTTCCGGTTTGCATCGGAAGTTCGTGCAAGTTAATCGGGGCCTCGTGTTCCCTAAGCTTTCCATATCTGGTCTCGGCTTTCATCTATCTAATTATGCATCCTATACATAAGTAATTGATACAAACGTATATGATGGTAGCAAAGCATCCAGGAAGGATTAATTGTCCCTATCGAGATTTGATTTCTTCTTTGTTTTTTTTTCTCAAATATAAAACAAATTTGTCGATGCTATCTCATAAAAAAAAAAGTATTTCCGCTCACCAACCGACTTATCCGCACGCAAGAGCTTATTTGGAAGACTTTGGGGTTCGAATTCGGAGTTTTCGTTTGATTTTACACTCGTTTATGATTAATTCCCGCCAATATAGACGAAGTAGACTAAGCGGAAACCAACTTATTTAAGGAAGGCGAGTGTAATAAATCGATTAGTCGATTAATTACTCTAAATCGACTACGTTTTGCTCCGGAGAACGTCTCTTCTTTTAAACTATGTTATAATAAGAAACAAGGCAATCTATTTTGAAAATTAAACGTAATATTTGCAGTTTTATTCGCAATAAAATAAAATATTAAGTGTTTTACACATACCCTATAGAGAAATTCATTCGTAAAAAAAGAACTAAAATAAAATAAAGCTATTTTCAAAATCACAAACAAAGTCGAACGTCTAGTAAATAAGGATGCAAATGTAGTTTTTGAATCGTTTTACGTCATTAAATATAACAATTTAAAGAAAGAACGGAACGGTCCCGTAATAATTTAAAAAAGAAAAACTAATAAAACGATGAAGCATTCTATAGAATTCTTATACAAAATAAATATTCTGTCCTTTATAAATCGATACGGTGCTTCTAGATTAGCTTTACCGATGAGTCGATGCATCCGTTTTTATATTACTTTGGTTATAGGCTCGTACTGTACCTAGAATTTTAATATAACCAAAATGTATAAATAACACGAACAAATGCGGGTGACCGTAAAGGCAAAATATTCGACGTATTAATTTAATACAAATAATAATAAATTTATAAACATTTTTAACGTATTATTTATATATTTTTAATATATTTAAATATACGGTATATATATATTTTTTTCTAATTTTAAATCGCGTACCGTAAAACTTTACTTAATTAAAATATACGCTCTCCATCTCAAATTAAGTGGCTTGCCCCTGTAAATCATACTTTTCCTGTTATCAACGGAGTCATGCCGGTCAGTTATCAAACTCCTTTCGAGGAAATTTTTGAATTAAATTAACGTAACTTCCGTTTCGCACCGGACATTCGTATATAGTTAATCGAGGCCTCCCGTTTCCAAGTTTTCCGTATCTGGTCTCGATTTTCATTCATCTAACTCCGTTTTCGGAATTCAGGAAAAACAGGCTGACGACAGTGGGGATTTTTTTTTTTCAAATTGCAGCCAAAAAAATTTTACTTGTTGAAATTATAAGGTGTTTACGTTTCAAATTTTTTAAAAGAATATTAACGTTTACAATAAAGAAGGTGTAATTATCACTGTTAATCCTCTGCGATAGTATTCTGACATTGGTAGGTTTCTATAGTTAATTCCGAAAGATGTATTGACATTAATCTTCAAAGCTAAACGGTCATTCGACGAGAGAATAGTTTCGTCCGAGGTCAACGTACAAGCGATCTACATTCACATAGTAAACAAAGTACTTTAAGTCTTAAATAAGAACTAATCCTACCTTTCTATACTCGTCGTCGATATCGTCCACATCGTTTCTTTTTTCCGTATTCCCTTCTTCTTCCTGAATAAATTCGTCGTTTATTTTAAGAGATTTATAAATGATTTAAACGAATATATCGATATAATTTAATATAATTACGTGTATATCCAATTCTAATCTCAATTCTTCGGCAAAGGAGCCGTACGGATTTCCCATTGTATTAAGACGTTGGAGAAACTCTCGTAATTCGTGACACACCAGTGGATTTTGCGTGAAATCCTGATGACAAAACGTCACCCATTCGTAAAGTAATCTAAGAACCACGCGGTGATTTTGCAGAGTATCGTTCGGCTTGACTGATGTTAGATTACTTGCATTTTGATTGGCATTAACTAGAAAATTGATTAAAGTTATCGATTAAAAAAAAAACACTTCTATTCCGATAAAATTCTTTTTTAATTTTAAATTAACAATTTTTTCCCACCATTATTTAAAAAAAAAAAAGAAAAAACAGAATAATAATTTGATAGGTAATGCGATCGTTTTACTTAAATATCGTTGGGAATAGGAAATGCCACTCATCGCAAGGTCGTATACTACTTATCACATTAAATTCGGCATTTAATGAGTTCTAGAATGTCTTTTGTAACTTAATACTTTATTTTTTTTCCCTCTCCGAACCTGAAAGGAATACGAAAAATGTCTAGTACACTTAAGTACAGTACTACTTATTAAATCATATTTATAATTATTTATTTGAAATATACCCGCGCTTTTATTCCAAGAAACGAATAAATTTTAATTAACTACCAAGGATCTGCGCCGGAATCATTTGTAGTATAACAGTTTCTTTTAGTATTTAAATCTAAAAATAACCTCCAGACAATGGAAACTCCCATCGAAGACCATCTTTTCCCTTCCTTGTCCGTCCTTCGGAGGTTTCACTCTATATACCTTATATTACTATGTACTCGTTTTTGTGTTTATATTCCTAAATAAAGACTTTTAATACTAAATATAATTTATATTCCTGAAATATTAACATTCTTATTAATGTATTGAGAACGTAAATTAATACATGCCTGATTTTTAATATTATTAAACGAATGGTATAGTATCTTCTTTAGTAAAAGAAAAAATATACTTAATAATTGAATTTCTTGACAGAAGTAAAAGTTTCAGTTGTGTACAGTAAATACAGTTAGGAAGGAGAAAAAATGTTTTGTTTAGATTTAATTCAACAGATGGCGCGATGTGTTTTTTAGGTTTATTTATTTATTTTTTTATTCCAGTTGTATTGTACGCCATTATGTCCTACAGTAAATTTCGTGTTAGCAATTTACTGTAGGGCATAAAATATATTGTTACACGAAGTACAGTCGACCCTCCTTATAATACTGTTAATTATTCCGTTTTATATGAATTCCATGTTGTACGAGTCACTTAGATTTTACAAATACGTGTGCCGGGCTGTGAACGGATCACGTATTTGTAAAATATAAGTGACTCGTACAACATGGAATTCATATAAAACGGAATAATCAACAGTGTTATAGGGGGGTCGACTGCATTTAGCGACAGAAACGTGGTCGATACTTTCGAAATAAGTTACTGTATTTCAAGAACCATTGAAGTAACAATGGATAATAAACATAAATATTGTATTTTATTAACACAAAAGTGAAAACAATAAAAAAAACAGTTTGTCTTTGTATTATACTTAAATAATCAAATTTTTTGTTATTAAATTCATTTTTAGCGATTGTAGCCCATTAGTTCCCTTGGCTAATGAGAATTACTCACCTTAAGAGCGTAAAAATTTATTAATTTTATCAATTATTTAATGAAAAATTGAACTCTAGACTTACAGGTTAAGAGGTCGTCGGTCGGAAATAAGCTTTTTACCGAATAATGAAATTTTTTACTTGTCAAATTTAATATAATTGTTAAATCAAACAATAAATTAATNAGTAAAATATAAAAAAATCCACTGTTTATTTATATCGTCGCTTATACATAGATTTGATAGTGAAAGGAATTACCTGATGGGACTATGGAAGGAGTTTTATTTGTGGAAGTGTAAGTGCCTTCGGTTGTAGCACTACGGATTAAAGGGCCATGAGCGTGAGAACCGGGAAGTTGGAGAGAATTATGAAAAGTCACTCGAGGCACGGAACAGGATCGTGGACGTGCTACGGATGCGACGATATCCGAAGGTCTAGGATTAGGCTAAAAGAATAATTTGAAGATTATAAAAATTTTTACGAGTTATATAACCTGGAACATTTGAATTTAAAATACCTGAACGTCAAATTGTGGAAGATTTTGAATTTCACGTTGAAAAGCTAGAATTGTCTCTTCGTTCTCGGAGGGAGAAGAAATATTTTCGGCAAATTGCTGTTTAAATTTTTTTCGTTTTAGACTAGAAAACCTGAAACTTCTTTTAACGTAAGATAAGGGAGAAATGGGTGGAGTGGTTTGACCGTCGTTCTCCGTAAAGGTAGGTATTGTCTGAGCTTCCGGAGTTTGAATTACCACCTTGTTATGATCGGTTTTGGATTGTTGAGAAACAATACAATTTATGCTCAAATTAACTTTACGTCTTCCTCTAAGCGATTCCTCATTCTCGATTAAACTGGAATTACTTCTGTTTTCTACCGACAACATACTCGACTTGGAAGTGGTTCTGATTACGCGATTCTGAATTGGACATCCGAGCAATCGATGCATCAGTAGTCTGATCACTACTAAAGGGTGAATGACTAAGGGTAATCCCGAGAGAAAATAAATAGTACTTCCTCTTGGCACAGACCGTGCTCTACTCGAATCGTGATCTGAAAAGAATCCGTTTAAGTTAAATTTCCAATTAAATATTAACGATGGAATTTGTCATTGTAGTAATAGATACCTCTATGGTGTCTACTTATAATATCTTCGTCTTCCCAAGTGTCGTCTTTTTTCATTCTCTTCTAATAAAAGAAAAAATGTTATTTTAAATCCAGTCCGGCAAATTTTATTTATATTTTTTGATTAAAAATTCCACGCACCTCGACGTCTTTTAACAATTCCAAGATAATGGCTTCCAGAGAAGCGGCGGCTATTTGGTTGTTGCTATTGGCGATAATAGATGGTGCTAACGACGTCTCCATAATGTAAGTGTCCTCGTTGGAGTCCATCAAAGGAGTCGGGGGAGGAACCGCCTCCTCTAAGCGGAAATATAACAAACAATGTTACGTGACTATCCATCAAAGAACAGAAGGAGTCGATAGTTTAGTAATCTACGTCGCAGTTAATTACTTAAGAATGGATCGTTATTTTCACCTGTTGTCTAGAAATATAAAGCTAGCTAACCTATCGATCATAACTAATTGCCTTATTTATGTAATCTAGCATTAACCTAGATTCGGAATATATATATATTTTTAAATTATGCGTAACGGTACAGTACTCACCGAGCAAATCAAACAGATAAACCTTCTGTCTTAATCTCTGTTCCAATCCCATATACACTAGAATTCTGGCGGCGTGGTGCTTCACATACCGGGCATATTTGGTACTGTGGTTTGTGTAGTACCACTCGTCAGAAGGCAGCACCAATTGAGTGAGATTATCGGTCAAATCTGATTCCAACAACGTAGGATGATAAGATGGATCTAAGGCCAAGGTAGCCACGGTTTGAAGTATAAGGCAAAGTAATTGCTAAAAAATAGAATTACACAAAAATTAAGTTATTTATTCGGAAAAAAATATTTTAAAATGTTCTACGGTACATTCCAATTTAATCATTTACTACAGTCGACCCCCCATATAACACTGTTGATTATTCCGTTTTATACGAATTCCATGTTGTACGAATCACTTAGATTTTACAAATACGTGAGCCGTTCACAGCCGGCACACGTATTTGTAAAATATAAGTGACTTGTACAACATGGAATTCGTATAAAACGGAATAATCAACAGTGTTATAGGGGGTCGACTGTAGTTATATTTTCAGACAACATCTAATGTCATTTCCTTTCTAGTTTATTCTACGTTTTACGAAATTATCAACTTTTATGTTTAATGATACATTAAATAAATAAATAAAAATTACATTTTTACCTTAAAAACTATTTAAAGACACGGTAAGAAGCGCGGAATGAAAAGGTAAACAACCAGCAAATGAATGTTCTATTTTATAATTTAATTTTTATACAGATTTATTCCTGTTTAAAATCGAAGAAATAATTTGAAACGAAATGTATTTGAGTTAAATAACATATAATCAATTAAAATCGAATATTCCAAGTGAACAATTGTACGTTGAAGTAGGAGACTGTAAAATCTCTAAAATAAAATATTTAAATTTTTGAAAATTTTATTTACTTTCCATTATTTCAATTTTCTTCGTAAATCCACTTAAGCTACAGACACGTGGCTTTTATTTAAAAGTTACTTTAAAAACCATAAAACTATGTCCCGTACAACTACTTAAATAATTTTATTATCGAAAGAGAATGTCAATTCAATCTTTACTAATACTTTATTATTCACATCTTTGCAGGCATTTTAAAATAATTCGAAATATTAATTTGTTAAAATACTTTTATCGATTTATTATAAATAATTCTTCTTAAATTAGAAAAATAATTCTTATCGTTTCGACGAAAATCGAACGTAAATTTAATAAGTTAGAAGTAAAATACGTAAAAATTTCTATACAAATCGACCCCCCTATAACACTGTTGATAATTCCGTTTTATATGAATTCCGTGTTGTACGAGTCACTTAGATTTTACAAATACGTGAGCAGTTCACAGCCCGGTACACGTATTTGTAAAATCTAAGTGACTCGTACAACACGGAATTCATATAAAACGGAATTATCAACAGTGTTATAGGGGGTCGACTGTGTAATCTTACTGGATCGTGGGTTGAATCTAAGGCAGCAACTAATATCCTTAAATGGCCGTCTTGCATTAATTTCTTTTGGCCATCTTCCGACTGACTGATATAGAGTAAGGATCGAGCACTCAAAACTTGAAGACAATGGTAGCTGCAATGACGCCACCTAAAAAATAAACGACAAAACAGTTAGACAGACACGTTTACCACGTTTAATTTCTACTGTATAGATATAAAATTTACCTATGACTGGGAGTACAATGTTGTCTCGTACCCACGACTCTTTTGTGGAGAGTAATGGCATTATTGAGAATGTTGAGCATTAGATCGATTCCTTGATCGGTCATAATGTCTAAAACGGATTCGCTAACTTCTATCTCTTCTTCGTGTTCGGATACGGGTATATTTGTTTCGGTGGTAGAACCCTGTTCTTTAGTACCAATTTTCCATCCGTGACTCCACCATTTGGCATCGGAACTTCTCGCACGCGTAAATTTCCAAGGCAATACGTGAGAAGAACAAGTAGGAGTCGAGGATTGTATTCGGTGATTTTCTTTGAAACTCGACGAATGGCGAAAATGGGGAGAGTGGTGGATTTTAATACTAGTTCCGGTTTTTACTTTACATCTGGCCACTCCGTAAGATACGCAAACGTCGATGACTTTATTAAGGATCAGTAATGCCGTATATTGAAGCGCTTGGCCTCCTCGAAGATAACCGATCGAAACTCTAACTAATTGGCATAATTGAAGACTTAAGTATTCTTTCTTTTTATTAGATAAATGATCTTGCGCGTGTTCTTCTATTATTGTCTGAAAAAGAAAAAAAACAAAGTATTCTTTGTAACGTATCCTATTTAATTCTTAAAATACACAGAAAACAAGAGCCGACAATTGTAAATACGAGTAATAATCTCCTCGTATCGTTTTTCAATCTAATTTAATCGAATGCGACAACTTCCGCGTAGGACTTGTCTTCTTAAAAAAATTCAATAAATAAATAAACGCCTTAGTTCTAAAAAAAATGGAATTTCCACTGTACAATTTTATAATACATCAAATGTTCCTTTTTAAATATTTAACCTACTTGAACATTCAAAAATCCATTCCATTTTTACTCGTATTACGTATCGAATAAAAATATTCTTCTGGAGTAAATATTGAAGTAGTCTTGTGTATATAAAAAAAGGGTCGAAAGTATAATATTTTTTCTAACTTTTCGCTATATTAAAAATAATATCTTCTGTTTTTTAATATATATATAAGATTTTTTTACAAGAAAATGTTGTTATTCCGTGTTTTACGGTGTAAATAAATCGATAAAATTATTCTAATATACATCATTTTAATGTATAATATCTAGCAGATGTATATGTAATATTGTAATTAACGTAATGTAATAAGTTAATTTATAATATTCCGTATCCGGGTATCGTCGTAAGAGGGTATAGGAGAGTAGAATCGTACATTCAAATTCATACATAAATTAAACAATGGATGGGGAGGGGTTGAACTACGATACACGTCCATTTTATTTAATTAAATTTTACACAGATTTCGAGGGGGGGTTGAGTTTTGTTAGACGTCCGAAGAAGGGAGGTTATATGAATATTACATAATACAATAGAGCGTCGATTTTCCGAATCAATTGGCAACTGGGGTTGTCCGGATAACTGATATTTCGGATAACTGATTTACGTACGAAAAAATAGTTTAACGTATCCGATGTCGAAATTTTTCTCCGTTGCGTGTCGCTTCGCGTTGAATTTTCGTCGATGTTAAGCCTAACAAAGACTATTGTATCGTTAAAAATTATTTTTTTATTTTGTACAAACAAAATAAATATATTGAAAAATATAAAAATAATAAAAAATTATACTTCAGATGTTAATTTAGTATCAAAAACGTCAAATATTTGAGTAGCCCAAGACATAGCCAAAGATTGAAGCGCCACAGCATTGGCGAAAATTGAAATTTGCCGACTGGAATTCTTTCGGATGATTGACGTTTCGGATGATTGACTTTCGGAAAATCGACGCTCTACTGTATAGATATTAATTAGGGTAGGTTACTTACTTAACGAGAAAGAGGAATTAAAAAATAAATAGAATAAAAATAATTATTTCTGTTATTTAGTTTTATAAAAGTCAATATTTGCATTTCTATAAAACGTCAAATTATTTAAAAAATAAAAAAAAAATTATTTAAGATTTTTAAACTCGTATCGACTGCGGCATTTATAGGTTAAATAAATAAAGAATATTTCTTTTTTCGTGGCAAAAATTCTCGACAATTCTTTCAAATAACTCATACGTTACTGTATTTTCCGAAGAATAAATTCTTTTTTTCTTTCTTATAAAATGTCAATCAAATTTCCAGTCGAAAATATATTAATTATAAATTATACAGTAATATTATAATTCGTACGATCTTCTGTGTATATCTGTAATAATTAGTTTCAATATTAATAGTATTTAAATTTAATATAAATTAACAAACATTGTTTACGATACGAGGGGAGATAAATACAGTCGCATTTATCTCCAGTAGGATCGCACTAAATGACGATTTAACCGGTTATTAACATTTAAATTTGTTTATAAAACCCATCCCCATCCACAGAATTAAGCTTTTACCCATTTTGTGATAGTTAAAAATATAAGTTTTTTAATTACTTAAATATGATAACAGATGGCGCCACCAAATGTTGTCGGGGGAAAGTTAAGCAACTCGTTGCTGAATTTTTTTTTTTTTAATTTGTAGGGGGTATTAAAAAGGTGTAATATTTAAATCTTTATATAGAGTTGGCATTTTATTTCTTCCGAAAAAAAAAAAACAATTTTCTTAAATTTTTGTCTTATATAATATATAAATTGAATTTTTAAAAAATATATTTATATTTTATTTTTAAGATTTATCGCAACGCTGTTATATTTAGATCCATTTTACACGGGAAAGTAAATGATTGGATTTTGAAACGGAATACGTTGCTTTACAATGCTTTACTGATTTTACGAATCATTATTCAATATTATAATATGGAATTTTCTGGTCAAGCAGTAAAAAGTTAAAGGTAAACGAGCAAATATTTATTGTATGCCGGGCTACAATTTTTTAATCACATTTTTAATTAATTTAATTTAAAATATACGCTCTCCACCTCAAATTAGTAGTGGCTTGCCCCTGTACATCATACTTTCCTGATAAGAACAGAGTCGTGCCCGTCATCTTTGATTTAAATTGACGTGACTTCCGGTAAAAACAGGACGTTCTTATACAGTTATTCGGGACTTCCTCCCTCTAATATTTCCATATCTGGACACGATTTTCATCCATCTAACTCCGTTCTCGAGATTAAAGAAGGACAGACAGTGGGAATTTATGGGTGTACGTACAAGTTTATATATATATAACAATGCATCTTACCAGTAATAATTTATTAAGTAGAGATGCTACCGGTCGATGGAATTTCTCTCCGTCAACCTGATTGGTCAATTCGATCATATTTGTCAAATGATTTTGCATTCCAATCAAAATGGACGTCAAACACTCTGGATTTGACGCCATTTTTGTCAGTACTTGTAAACTGCTTTCGATTTTCTCGGCGTAATTTTTATCATCTGTAAAATATAAATAAAATGATAATTATATTCTACGTAAAACTTTACTTAATTTAATTCTATAATTATATATATATATATATTTTTTAAAATTTTTAGATAATTTGTTACGGCTCGTGGGTGAAGCTTTGGCAATTAACTACCGAAATGCGATTAATAATAAATGTGTGACGTTAGAAAAAAAAATTTTTTTAATTCCGTCACGTGATAGTTTTATCTCGAAAATTTCATAATTAACCGTAAGAAGTTTCTTAATAGATCGCGTGGCAAGGATATTTAATTAAACATTAATGGCATAAATTATAAAAGAAGTTAACCGAGTACTGCGGTGAAGATGCCAATTAAAACGTTGAAAACATCTGTAAAAAAAGGACAAGAATCTATTGCTAATTCAATTTACGTTAGAAATAAAGATTTCTACTTAATTTTTATATTGTTTTGTACAATTTTTTTTTACACTGTTAAAAATTCCTATAGTTTATTTCATTTCTCGCATCCCAAGACTATATTTTTTCTCCAATTTTGTCAACAATATCAGTAAAATAACCTTAAAAAATCGAATAAATTGTACAGTACGTGACGAGTTTCAAAGTGGAATAATTTAACCCCCATCGCGCCATAAAGTGTAGCCGTGCCTGACATTACACAACGAATTAGACATTAGCGAGGTTGCGGCCGAAGTTTTCATCTATAAAACGTGAACGTCGAACGTCGAGCGCCGCTTAAGATAGCGGCGCTCGACGTTCGACGTTCACGTTTTATAGATGAAAACTTCGGTCGTAACTTCGCTATTTTCGATACTTTTGGCCTTTGTTTCGATAAAGAAATAAGACGGCGGCCATAGGTTAATTCGTTTAATATCGAGTCGAAAGTAAATTATCATCTTTTTAAATTCCGTAGAGTAATTATTACGTCGAGTAATATCTAAGATGGTGCACTTTCGTACTTAATCCGCTTAAAGAATATCGATTATCCGGTAATGTTATTCAATATTCTTTCATCTAGAGGTGGATAGTTAATTAGTAGTTGGGCAAATATTGTTCGACGATTGACTCTTTAATTTATGAAAAGCCAGCAAACTCGATTATCACATAAAAGTTCGGAATTTTCTTTTCATGATTTATTACTTGTAATAACGACTTAATAAAAATTAACTGATAATAAATGCGAATTTTTAACGATTTTTATTTTAGATTCGGTTGCTTTCTATCTTTATAATACAAGAAGATGACGTTCTGAATTGAAGTGAGAATGTTCTTCCCTCTCGTCTTTAGTTAAGCTTAATTAATAGGATCGAGTGTCAAAAAAATAATAATAAACAATTAACTAAATGTCTCTTTGAAATTAAAATAAGAAGCGAAATCAGAATTTAAAAAAAATAATTTTTACTAAATTGAAATAAATAAAATCAGTAAATATATGCAGAAATTCGTAAGCATTTCAAATCAATAAATTTAATACAAACTCGATTTAAACAATCGATGCAGAAAATACTGAATAAAATTAAATAATTAAATAATCGATTTTGAAAAAAAATTTCCAGCAACGAGTTGCTTAACTTTCCAGGCAACATTTAGTGTTATGATATTTTATTTAAAATTCTTTTAACTATTATAAAATGGAAGAAAGCTTAATTTTCAGGTTTTGTAAAAAAAATGTAAATGCTAATAACCAGTAAAATCGCCATTAAGTCCGACTCTACTGAGATACACACACCTTCGTTATCTCCCAACCCCCTCGACTTTTACTCATCAAAATTTAATAGCATTAATCCTCCTAATAAGCAAACCTCCCTGCGAAATTTCAGAAATTTTCGACAAAAAGTACAGAAGTTATTAAGCTTGTAAAAGGGTGAAAAAATCGTGCCCCCCACATCTGTACATACAGAAAAAAATCTTGAATTTTTTGTTGCATTTCTTGATATTTCAATGTTCTCCGAGTCCATAAATGTAAAACTTTTGGGGCCATTTTTTGACCGATCGCCATACTTTCCTTGTGACGAGCGTGGAATAATGGCCTTCTTAGGGCCCACAATAATGTTTTCGTAGTTCCTTTAAAGAATATATTGTTAATAAATAGAAAAACTTGTAGACGTATAAATTTCCAATGTCGTCCGTCTGTCCGTCTTTCCTTAATTTCGAGAACAGTGTTACATAAATGAAATTAAACAATAGATATGAAAACCTTAGAGGCAGTAGGCCCCGATTAACTATACACTTACTTTCGATACAAATCGGAAATCGTGTTATTTCAATTCAAAACTACGAGCACGACTCTATTGTTAAAGGAAAAGTACGGTGTAAAGGGGCAAGCCACTAGTAATTTAAGATGGATAGCGTATAAAATAAATAAATATATGATTAAAAACTGCATGCAGCCCGGCGGCATTGTGACCGCGTCACAATTAATAATTGTTCGTTCTGTTTAAAAATCGATCACTCAATCCAACTCGATTGGGACCGTTTCCCTTTCTTTATTTTATTTACGAATTTCTTAAACATTTTCTAGTTTTAATACAATGAAATTTCCTTTTTTTTAAATAGCGATTACATGTAATAAAAGAAGGTAGAATTTGTACGAAGTATAAATTTCTTAACGAATAATCTGGCAATTAGACTTTAGCCTAGAGAAAAGAAAAATTGGAAAAAATTCAAAAATTAATCTTCCGTAAATCTTATTTAAAAACTTTTAACAAAGAAACGTTGTTAAGAAAAATATAATAACCGTTATAAAGAAATTTTCGGACGAACGTACGCGCTACATCATTTAACGTGTCAAAACTTAATCTTCATTTAAGACTTTACGGAAATTTAATATCTTCCAAACGCCCCCGTAATTGGTCGAAACACAAAAAGTAAACGGTAACGAAGCGAATAATTATTTAAATTGTTATAATACAAATCATCGTCGATAGAAGCAATCGGAGTGAATTACTTGGAAAATATGGCGTGCGTATATCTCACAAGTTTCTTTTATTTAATTCGCTAAACAATAATAATATTTTGAGAATATTTAGTTAATTTAATTACAGAAAACAATCGATAAAATTACTACTCAGGCTATTTGAATTAAATTTTTAAACGCGTTAGAAAAGAAAAAAAAGAATAAAATATATGCTCTCCATCTCAATTTAGTATTAGCTTGCCCCTGTACATCTTACTTTACCTGTTAGCAATAACGTCGTGCCAGTCTAACTCCTTTCGAGGGAAAATTTTTGAATTGAAATCCGGTGCAAACCGGAGGGGGTCCTCCTGCCCTTAAATTTTGTATATCTGGCCTCGAATCTGATATATATCTGAGACTGTTCTCGAGATTAAGAAATGTCAGACAAACAGACAGACGACAGTGGGAATTTATAGGTCTACAATATTTTTCAAATTGCAGCCAAATATGGATAAGCTAAACTTCAAATGGAGGAAAGAAAACAAAATTCTATTCGATTTTTTAACGTAATAATAGAATTTAATGGTGTTTTCTCATCCGTAATAAATTAATCAAAAGGGAAAATAACAGATTTTTACGCAACTACATTAAAATCTATATTTACAAACAGTATATATATATTTATACACGGTTCCTTCTATGAAGAAAATATAGAAACAGAGAAAGGAAATAAAAATCGATATACGCAATTTAATCAAATACGATATGTAAGTGGTCACAATGTTTATTCTCTGGAGGATCTCACGCATCTTGCCAGAGATCGTCTCACTCTTCGTCCCTCCCTCTCTTTGCAATGAGGTTGGCAAACTAATTTCAAACTTTAAATTACTGTTTTATTGCCCATCGCGTAATGGGTGCGACTTGACATTGTCGTGGTTGTCGTCAAACAAAGCGGCGTTATTCGGTTTATAAATACGATACTGTAATTGTTAAAAATAGAGCAGCCTTAAGAAAGAGAAAGATTTTAAGAGCCACCTTATTTTCCTTGCGCAATTAACAATTACTAATTGCATTATCAAGAAAAGAAAGTGGAAAAGAAGTTTACTAATTACAATTAATTTTTAATCCGTTTCGAAATTTCTCAATTTTACAGTCAAAATTCGATGTAGTGGCCCCCTAAATAGAGCTACCCTGGTAATACTTGTGAACAGATCATATGCTTAATATTAAATAGCAACTCTTATTAATAAATATACGATTTTGCATTGTAATTAGCATTATTATAACCAATAATGTCATTCAAACACATATATACCTCTATACACTTCTTTACTATCCCCATATATATGTACAGTACATCATACTTTTCCTTTAACAGTAGAGTCGTGCCATATCTATCTAATTCCTTTCGGGGGGAATTCTGAATGTTAAATATTCTTCGATTAGACGGAATACGAAAGAAACAGTACACCCGTAAAGCGTATTTTTTCTTTGTTATCCAATTGTAAACGAAAAATTCACTTAAATTCCCTTGTTACGTACACAAGATAAAAGGGGAAAATAAAAGTATTTTAATTACAAAATCTCAAAACAGATGGTACTACGCACAATTTTATTTATTATGATTAATAATATAAAAGTTATTTTTAAATGAGATCTCATAACAGCCGGAAATTTATGCGAATCGTTGCTAGATTTTTAAAAATCTTCCATCTTCATTATCTACATTTTTGTTCAAAGGATCTCAAAACATATACAAAAAACTTGTAGTATACAAGTATGTATACATCTTGTTACGTATACTTGTACATGACAGCCGGGAAAGTAACACACGTCTTTTAATTTACCTTAACTGCTTATAACTATGTTACATTTCGGTAGAAAGAAAGTTGAACAGCAGTTTCTTTTCCTTCTCGTTTTTTTTACGAGGAGGGAAAGAATGCGACAGGAGGAATGGCAAATTTTTGCTCGAGCATATTCAATCTAATTAACAGCTCATTACCGAACTTTAACGACGTAAATTTCGATAATTTAGCGAGCGATCGACTTATTGCGTGGTTTGCATCCTATTTAAACTTTACGGTTATTAATTAGAAGTCTAGAAATTCCATTTCTCGAATAACCTATGTTAAAATATTAAATTTCAATAGTGACACGACATATTTAATTTTTGAAAGTACAGTATTAAAAATCTTACTTTCGTTGGAAGGAAGGCGATTGCGAATTTTTCCCTCTTCTACTACTTTCCTCACTGTTTTAACTGACTGGATACTTTGATCTAAGGAAGGAGTTTCGGCAGCTCCCATCTAAAAAAATATATATATTTCATTTAAATATTACTGAAATATTAAACAATAAATTCGATACAAATCGGAAATCGTGTTATTTCAATTCAAAACTACGAGCNTCTGAGATTATAATTATTATAACGAAAAGATTAATTGGAATAAAATAAAGTTTATACGCTATTTTAATAAATATGTATTCTTTTTTATTATTATAAAGAAATTTTCGTAAAATTCTTTCCGAGTAAAAAGAAAATAATGATAATAATGCCTATAATTAGCTTAAGCTGGTTATCAGGTTGTTCCACTTCGCAATAGTTAAATGGATTATATTAAAAATTCGGTATTAATAGAAAGGAGGGGAGGGGAAATCATGCTTTAGATTCGTTCGCATCATCGATTATAATTTAAAATAAAGAAATTTAAAAGAAAAAGAAGCGTGAAAAAAGTTCTTGTTTATTAAATTATTTAAAAATCTTTTCAAAAAAAGTATATATAATTTTTCTTCAAATATTACACATCAATCACTGTACAATTGTAATATTTTACTCTCTAATTTAATTTATAATTAAGATATTTTTTAAAATATATAATCTTCAGAGAGTTTGTTTTTAAATAAGTAAAGGACCGAATTCAAACCGAAAAATATAGATTAATTTTACACGTAATTCGATAGAACGAAAGGCGATTGTAGGTTCGAAATCTTAATGCATTAAAATTAATTGTAATTGTAAATATATACAATCGAACCTCCGTTAGCGGCCAGTTTTTACGTTACCGAAGGTTTGGCTGTATACTAAAATACGACATCACACGTGGTGAATTATATTCATTTAATAAATAAAGCCTCATTAAATTATTTTAAAGAGAAATCACGTATTTATGTACGACAAATTCATGAAAGTATTTGTTGAATGAATAATGCAATTAATCCCGTTCGACGATTCATAATGAATTTTAAAACGAGAGAAATAATTACGGCGTGGCAATCTGCCGTTTTTCGATTGATAAAACACAGTATTAATAACAATTACCGTTCTTAGAGTTCGAAGAGAATTTTTGAACCGCACCCAACACATTACAGTTGTTTGGTGACACTCCCATTACCAAACAAGGGAATTTTCCGACAATCGAGACAACCGTCAACAACGTCACACGTTGAATGACAACGGAATAAGCATGATTTTTCAATATATACAAAAAATAATAATAATAAAAGTGAATCGAGAATTCTGTATTATTCAATTTAGTGAAATTCAGAAAGCTGAAATAGAATTAATGCTAATTAATAGAGAAAATTGGTGTTACATCTCATCTTTCATACAGCTTAGTCATACAAATAAGATTTACAGTCAATTTTTTATCATATTTTTTTAATTTATTTATTTTAAAATATATGCTCTCCACCTCAAATTAGTATTGGCTTGCCCCTGTACATCATACTTTTCCTTTAACAGTAGAGTCGTGCTGTATCTATCTAATTCCTTTCGGGGGGAATTCTGAATGTTAAATATTCTGTAATATTCTTCGATTAGACGGAATACGAAAGAAACAGTACGTATAAAAATAAGAATTGTTCCTATAAAAATATAAGTAATCGATAATAATTAAAAATTTCCATATCTATTTTTAATTTAACCTAAGCAATTATTATAGTATAATAGTTATAAAATGTTTAATAAGTTATTAAAGTTGTTAAATGGGATTTTTGGGTATTCAAATTACGCTTCATTTAATCAAATTACCTAGGTCGAGAACCAGAATAAATTATTTAAAAAGTGTAAAAATAAGTAATTAATTATTATACATTTTAAATCTTAGCGAGATAAAGAACACATAAATATCCTATTTTGTATGCCAATTTTATAAAGTTACATCATAAGTCCAGTCAGGCGTAACTATGAAAAAAAAAATCAGCAACGAGTTGCTTAACTTTTCCGGCAACATTTGCTGCCGCCATCTGTTATATTATTTTATTTTAAAAATTTTTTATATTTTTAACTATTATAAAATGGCACAATTTTAAGGGTAGGGACAGGTTTTATAAATAAAAAAAATTGTAAATACTAATAACGAGTAAAGTCGTCATTAAGTCCGGCCCTACTCCGCATACGACACACGACTTTTATCTCCCCACCCCCACGACCTTTAACCACTAAAATTTAGTGGTATCGATTACCCTAATAAACAAATCTCCCTGCAAAATTTCAGAAATTTCCGACAAAAAGTATGGGAGTTATTAAGCTTCAAACATGTCCCCCCACACACACTTACTATCGGTAGGTACAGAAAAAAACAAAAAAACCCACGAATTTCTTTGTATTTATCGACGTTCTTCGATAACAAATATTAATTTTAAAAATTAGTTAATTAATTACGCTTATAATTACTTCCAAATAATACGTGACGGATAATGGAGTGACCGAGGGCACTACAAAAGGGCTTGTAAAATAGGAAATAATTGAAAAAAAAAAGTGGGTTTGAGTAATTCGATTAAATGAAAAATTCCAAATGGTGTGAAGTTAAATTTGTAATGTTTAATTAACTTTTAAATCGATAAATCAAAATTTCTTTTAAGCCAATTTAGCAATTTTACAATCGATGTACTGAAAAAAAAGACTTTTATTATTTGATTTTAGAACGGAAGCCATTGAAAATTTACCATTTTATACGGATTCCGACACCGTAAACCGTCAAATAACACGAAAATAGAAACACGGGAGTGGATTAAAAACGACTATTTGTCATTTAATAACCGAATGTTCGATTTGTACATTGAAAATTACACTCCGGGTGTAATTTTCAATGTAAAAAAAAAGTAATAAAAACGTTTTTATTTTTAATAAATACTTCGATATGACATTGATATAATACATTTTCCAACGTCAATAAGATCACATATTAATGTGCCGTATAAAATTACTCGCTGCACGTTGCTAAGGCAACCGGAGGCTCGGCCATCACCGTAACAACCGTCTACCAATTTCCAACCCTCTCGAATTTTAGGGTAGTGTCGTAATATACGATTTTTATTTATTTATTTTTATACAAAAAAAAGAAGTAAACTAATATTTATAAGAAAACAAAGTCGAATTCTATATAATATACAGGGGTTTTAAGATTTAAAATTATAGCTCGAAAGGTGTTTTTAAATCATCTCTTCGATAAATCATGCATTTATTGTTGACGATAAGTAAATTTATATCGATTCAATGTATAATGGACCGTCAAATTTTGCCCGAAAATTAATATAAATCGGTAATTTTCATTAAAACGCTCTTAGATTTTCGTTAATGCTCAATAAAAACTTCAAAACACAATAGAAAAGGGGCAGGTACCATGACTTTTGAATTCTCTTTAGTCACAGAGTACGGTATGATTGAGTCACGTAACGATACGTAGTATTATTCTGACATGTGATTACGGTAAATTTTATTATTGATAAATCGGTGACTGATAAATTATTTTATCTTTGGGAAAAGATTACGGCAAGAAACTATTTACGCGGTTTTTTCGTATTAATTTCTAATCAGTTTCCAATTCAAAATGAATTTTTTAACGAAATATATCTCGTTACACTGAATTTTTTACTCCTTTTACTACAGTTTCTTCTATTTTTAGTTAGCTTTTTTTTAATGATTTTTCACTATTGATTTTTGAAAATTTGTTTTGCAAATTACGTTTTATTTATTTATTTAGTATAGTTTGGTGTTCCGTTGCAATGGTTCTTATTCTGGAGTGCATTCACCTCTCCAGACTTCTGGGGTGCGGAGTCATAATAAAACGCGTTGCTATCAAATTTAAATGTATAATTATGTATTATTTTTTCCTGTTGTACATTCTTAACCTGGAACTAAATGCTTTTAACCAATGCTCCTTGTAACTCGCACCTAAATAGGGTCCTTTTTTCCCCGTAGAAGACAAATCGCCAACGTGTTGCTTTGCAGTATATCAACAAAAACTATTTAAGTCCTACCTAAAATAAGACCCCAAAATAGACCCCGTCCCCTTAAAAAGTTGCCGGGAAAGTCGAGCAACTCGTTGCTGCTTTATTTCAAACTGCAGCCCAAGTATCTCGTTCTGTTTTCTGTTATCATTTGATACGGAACTGTTTGCATTTGTTAATACTAAAATCCTTAAATAAATCTCATAGAAATATTTGTTAATTACCTCGAAACGTTAATTGTAATCATTTCATCAATTAGTTGGAGCTGGCATCCGATTGTTTCCGCCATGTGTTTAGTGTAGTATATCCATTCTATAAAGGTAACATGTTACGATTTTATTTGAGCGGTATTATTGTTCGTAACGAGGTGAAAATCAAATCGATATCGAAAGAGAATTAGTTTTCATTGATAATTTTATATTAATGTAATTAAATCCCTTTTCTGTAAGCTATTCTTAAACACTTATAATGATGATATATTCGTAAATATAACATATAATGATTTGCATAACGGGAAATTAGTATTATTTACCGTAACAAATTAAGTTATTTATAACACGTAATGTTTTATTCTTTCTCTATAATCAACAGATCAATGCGGAAAATACTATAATTTATAAATAAATCTATAAGTTATCGAAATTTCGATATAACGTCTTGTTTACTTCCGAAATTGGAATGGGGGAGCTAAACCGAGTTTTATATAAGAGCGACGTTTATATAAACACAATTAGTATACTTTAATAACCGGTAAAATCATCATTAAGTCCGACACTACTGGAGATACACGCGATCCTCTTTATCTCCTCACCCCCAAGACTATTAATCACCAAAATTTAAGAGCATCGATCCCCCTAATGAATAAATCTCCCTACAGAATTTCAGAAATTTTCGACAAAAATCTCAGGAGTTATTAAGCTTCAAAGAGGGTGAACGAAATCGTACTCCCACAAACAATAACATCCATACATAGAGAAAAAGTCCGGAATTTTTCTGTATTTCTCGACGTTTAAAAGTCCCTGAGCCCAAAAATATTGGGGTTCATTCTTTAATCGATCGCCATACTTTCCCTCTG